TTGTTGTTGTTTTTTTTTTTTCCTTCTTTCAATTTTTTTCCTTTTCTTTTCTGGATTAGGAAGTCTTTCATTTTAAAGTAATTGGTTTCAATCTAAATAGTGTTTGTCTAAATAAATGATGGTCACTACCACTTTTTGACCCTTTTTGATTGCCTGTATGAAAGGAATTCTTGGCTCAGGTCCATTTCCAAAGAGAGAGATGCTAACAAGGTTTGATGGGTACAGTATGGAAGCCAATAACTACATGCATCTGGAAACAGCACTCTTGGCCACTGGTCTGTTTTCTCCCTGACAATGTTCACAGCATGATTATCAATGTTACCACAGTGGATTACTGAAACACAGTGGTTTTGATTTAAAAAGGAATAAAAATACTTTCAAATAATTGCTCATAGTAATGGCTTATCTGTCTTGCTTGGCCTGATGTTGTTCAATACACTTCAGATTTTGCACAGATTTCTCCAACTACTGCAGATTGGTTGATGTCCTCAGCCTTCTCTCTCTTAAAATCTTATGGTTTTATCTTATCTCTGACAGATTTCATGTTAACTTCACTGGAATCTGATTTTGTCGTTCCAGCGAGACAGCTGGAGCATAAACCATCTCATATAATGAGCAAGGACAGTCTAACACCAGAACTGTACAACAGCCAAAGCTTGCATGTAGATAGCTTATTTAGGATGAGGATTTAAATATCTGCCATGTATTGTTATATTTAGGACTAACACTGCTGCGCATTTGGAAGAGGGAGTAGAAAACCTTATGTTAAATAACGAAGTCCTTTGTTTCTATGATATATCACTTCTTACTGTGCACTAAAGGAATTTATAATTGTGCAAAAATTGAACTACAAAGTTTAAATATTTATAAAATACCATTGTGGAAGTGTGGCTAGAGGTCCCACATTTAGGGCTTAAAATCAATTTTGAACTGGAAGCAAGGATATAACTACTTTATTATGTGAGAATAACAGTGTATTCACACACAAATTACAGCACTTACTGTTTCAGTACATAAATAATTTCCCCACAGTTTACAAATGAACTAGCTAATTAATGAAAAAGTTAACATTTTTCCTAAGAAACTCAGGGCTCTTTGTCAAAACAGTATTTATTTCCTGTGCAAGTTCACAGTTTAAACAACATTGTCTTATCAAATGCCTAGATAACTGCATTCATTGCAGTAATATCTATAATATTTATTTGAACTATCTTTCAAAAGAGCCTTCATCTTTTTTGTTCTTTTTTACGTTTGTTTTTGTTTTTTTGTTTTTTTTTTTTTCCCCACAGGAGTATTTTTAAAAAAAAAGTTTAAAATGTTGGTTTGAAATGGTTTCACTCCCTCACCAAGGGCGATAAGATCAGACCATGGAGGCCCTTAGCGGATGCTGCTATTGATCTCAGACTTGAACCGGACTGTAGATTTTGTGTACTTTCTTGAAACTAGGTAAAGGCACCTAGATTTCTGAATTAAACATTATCCCGTGTGGAGTACTGGCATGGAAATATCCATTTTACAAGTTGTGAACAATGGGTCACTCTCATGCTAGTCAAAATAAGTGCTGTCACTTTGGACATGAGGGAGAATAAGTATTACTTCATTGTGACAGACATACTTTGCTTAGGAGCCTACCTGGCCTCCTGGCCAGGTGTCTTTTCAGAGGCATCTTTTCGTTATCTTCAGATATCAGATCTACATGTTCCAATATGTAAACACTCTCACAGAGAGAGGATCTGTTTTCAGGCTGGAAGGTTAATTTGTCTAACTTCAATTTACAGTTATTGGAGCATGATTTGCCTTTCTTTGCATGGTTAAAAAGGTCTCGTATGTTTTCTATACATATGAACCTATTGCAAGGACTCAAGTCACCTCTCAGCCATGTCTTTGGTGAAGTGAAAATCAGGATTTCTCAGATCTCCAGAAATTCCGTGTTCTTGAAACGTGAAAATTAGATCGGTTCTTACCATTTCTCTGTGCAGAAGTAAAATCATTGTCCTCTTTCTACATGCTTCTTGTATCTTTTTTTTTTTTTTTTCCCCAAATAGTTATGCTAAGTATTATTTTGGATTACTGCAACAGTATCACAAGTGAGTGCTCCCAGTGACACACAGCACTTTATGATAACACTGCATTTTTCTCAGGACAAGCTCATGTGCTTATGTGACATTGCTGAGCTGACACAGTTTTCTGCTTTTAGTTCCTGAGATAACTCTTTTGCAACTAGCTCAACATATATATCTTCATGGCATTGCACCATTCTCGAAATCCCTGGTTTTAGGGCGCTTTCTTTTTTCCTAATGCAGGCAAAAATCTCTGTTCTTGGTTCTCACAAACCATGCTTTCAGTGTTGTTTAAAACAGATTTCAATGGACTGAGACCACTAACAAAGTGGTTCAGATTACACTGGAAGCGTGACTATCTCTCTTTACCGTTTGCTAATTTACCAATCCCTATGCTGCTTGAAAGTGGTTGTGCAAATACTGCTGAGCTTTGAGGGAGGTAAAACGGAAGGTAATATGGTCCTGTCTAGTTTGAGTAATCCTGGACATACTTCTAGCCGCAATGATGTTCTGTGGGAATGCTATGGCAACATCAAAATGTTGGCTGTCTAGCAGGCTTACTGCATTCTGTGCATGAACCGTGAATAAACAGAGGAATTTAGTTCCCAGAGTGTCAGTCTGGCACATTTCACAAGCACTACATTCACTTACCAAAAAAAAAAAGTCAGCCAGTCATACAGAGAAAGTGCTATAGTGGCTGAGTGATAAATTTCCTGCTGCTAACCCTTGTATATACTAACTCTAAGAAGCTAGAAATAAATCATGCGTGGCTTAATTCAGAGGGTAAATATGCTCTCCTCCAGATTTTTTATTATTTTTGTTTTAATCTGTTTTTCTTTATTCATACTGTTTTTTTGTCTATGCATCTCCTTGCTAGTCTCTGGACATATTAGTATGCTTTCTTTCAGTTAGATGTGATCTCTCTCTGAACCAAAGACTGGAGATATGGTCAGTGAAATACCAGGTTTGAGCTAAAAAGCCCAACAGGGATATTAGTCCGGGGTTCAGTGCATAGGAACACATTTATACTGTTTCTAGTCTGCTGCAAATGAGAGCACAGCACTGTTTGCTCTTAGTTCTGTCATGCAGTGATTTCCAGTGCCCCAAAGTGAATATAAGCTTTATGTCTGCCTATGGGTCTCTTTTTCTGTGTATATCTTAAAAAAGGAAATTCAAGGACATTTTATAGGATTATGTTGCTTTTTCAGATGACACTTAATGAGATGGGAGTAGGGTAGAGCCTACTCCATTAACAGCAAGAGTTCAGGCTCCCCAGACAGTGTCCATGCTTGGAAAGTTTCATGCTGAGGAGAGATCATAGAATCATGAAATGGTTTGGGTTGGAAGGGACCTTAAAGCTCACCCAGCTCCAGCCCCCCTGCCCCGGGCAGGGCCCCCTTCCCCCAGCCCAGGGTGCTCCCAGCCCCGTCCAACCTGGCCTTGAACCCTTCCAGGGAGGGGGCACCCAGAGCTGCTCTGGGCACCCTGGGCCAGCGCCTCACCCCCCGCACAGTAAAGAATTTCTTCCTTATATCTAATCTAAACCTACCCTCTTCCAGTTTAAAACCATTATCCCCCATCCTATCACTACACTCCCTCATAAAGAGTCCCTCCCCATCTTTCCTGTAGGCACCCTTGAAGTAATGGAAGGACACTATAGGGTCTTTCTGGAGTCTTCTAGATGTTTTGGGGAGACTTCTAATATTGACTGAAACTTCCAGAGGAAGTTTCTCTGTAAATTATTCTCATGGTTTATCACCTTCCCCATTAAAATGTTGTGTCTGTCTTCAATCCAGTTGTGGTATTTTTTGTTTGTTTGTTTTGTTTTTTAGTTATTTGAGCTTGTAAAAACTCAGACTATCTTCATATGCCACATGCTTGTTTTATTCTTTACTCCATGGGTGTGAACATAATTCTTGAAGCTTCACTTTGGCGGACTTAGGTAGTGCTCGCTGAACTGTACACACTGAAGCGTGTTCAAAACTGATGGCATCTGAACTGACCACTATCCTACTCAGAAGAGAAATCTTGGGATTTGCCAAAGACAGTTTCATAAAAAATATCAGATCCACACTCAGAGACAGTCAAATAAAAATAAAAAATATAACAGCTGTTAGGGATTTTTAGGAAAGAAATACATAACAAAAGGGAAAATATCCTGTTGCTGCTGTGTCAGATGAGTAGGCAGGGCTTACTCTTCAACATGGCAAAGAGACAGTTCAAGGGGGATATGTTGAAAGTCTCTGAAACCCTTAGCAATATGGAAAAAATAGACTGGCATTAATTGTTTCCTGTCTCTTCCAAACCATGAACTCTAGTTTTGAAACTCATATGAACTAGGTTCAAAACCAATAAAAGGAAGTGATTCTTCATGCAGTGAGCAGTAGATGAGTGAATCTCTTTGCCAAAGAAAATGTAAGAAGTCGTGGACGCAAGTTTACATGGGTTCAGGAGAAAAGGGAACAGGTAATCCTAGCCCACTGCTGAGACAACAGGCCAGCTGCATCCTCTGCCAAAACTGGTGTCACCACTATTATGTTTGATCCCTTCCTTGTTCTAATGGCTTGCCTTTAAAGGAGAGCAGAATTCAAACTGAAAACAATTCAATATCCTGTCTGAAGACCTTATTTATTTACATCATTTTGTTCTGATCTTCAGTTAATATCTCCGGATAAAAGTTGACATGTAAAACGAACGTTATGATAGAAACAACATCATGATCATGAATGCCAAATGTCTGAATTAGAACAGGCTGACATTCATTATAAAGTGCCTTAAAGACTAGTGAAGCTTAAGCAAAAAAAAAAGCTACAACTTTTAAAACTGATTTAAAAAGAGTAGGTTATTTGTATAAATATGGCTTAAGTTCAACATGCCACAGACACCACATGCTCACAGGCAAAGTTTTTGTTGAACAAAAAATGAAAACTCAACTCTGCACAAGGTTAAAGATTGTATTTTAATCACAGACTGAAACATCATGACTTACAAAACTGATGGTTAGATTTAAAACCAACCACTACATCTTCCTGTGGGAATACTCCCCCCACACCCTAGCAGACTAGGGGTTCAAGTGAAGAACAGAGCTGTTCATGTTTGCCGTTGGGACTGAACAGTGATTTCCAGGATGATGACTGATTTTGCAAGAATTCACCTAAGATGCTTGTCAATGCATTTCATTTACCCAGCTGGAAGTGGCTTTTTCTAGGGAACTCTGCTGAAGTCATCAGAAATCCCAACCATCTTGCAGCTTTCTGTCCAGAGCCTTCTCTGTAGCTCCTCATCATATGCTATGTCAGCCGATTTTGTCCTTTCCTCATTGTAAAGGTAGCAGCCACCAGCTCCTTCCATCTTGGGCGATACTGCTGCATAGATGGTTGTAGAGGCTCCTTCTTCTGGAGTCTGCAGAAACAAAAAAAAACCAAGCAAACAAACAAAATCAGGCGAGGTAAGTACAATAGAAAATCTACACTACACCATAGGACCTTACCAGTGACAATCAGCTTCCCTAGTTTTGCATCACACTTGCGGTGCTTATGCAAACCTCAAGCTGGCAATGATAAAAATGCCATCTATTTAATTGTCAGAGTACAGTCCATTTCTACAACAGTGCTATTTTTGAGATAGCTTAAAGCCACGGAACAGATATATGGAAAACTCTGGTCTATTTTTTTTCAAGAGCTAGTCAAATGGAGCAAACAAAATAATTTATTTAGTTTTCACAGTTAGAGCTAATAAACCCCAAAACAAACACAAATATTAAAATCCTAGTTTAATTATTCAGTATGCAAGGATGAAAGGGTCTGTACTCTGCCTTAAGAAGATGAAGGCTATGCTGTATGTGCAATGTATTCATTGTAATAACAATATGACACAAGCAAAGGATCATGGAAACCACAACAGCAAATTAAGATTCCACGGTTCAATCCAAGCAGGCAGGTAAAGCAGGGAATTACATTTTACGCAGAGCATAGTTATCAGGGTTCTGCAGTGTCATAAAGCAAAATGGTGAAAGATCTATAATACCATGAGTATTAAATGAGAATTAATAAGTGAATAGCTTATTATGAGTGATAACTCCTTTCATCCTGAGGATATGCAAAACATTTCCATTTTGCATTCAAAAGGATCACACAGCTATCACTGAAATTATTTCAATGGCATTTTTTTTTTCTTTCATTGAAGGGCATATTTAAAACACAACATTTGATATGTTTTGTCTCTATCAGTGATATAATTATAAATGGCTGTTAGATAAGAATGTATCAATTTACAGTCCTTGCAGTCATTCTCTGAGTCATTAACAGTACCAAGGCTGCTCATAGCTTTGTCTGCTGCACCTGACAGGGTGTCTTTTTCTGAAGAAGTCACTTGATGAATGAGACAGTATTGAATAGGTTACTCAGTGTCTTATTAAAAAAAATATAAGTCTAAGTAATTTGAAGCTTTTTGTGACAAGGTTCTCATATTTTTAAAAGAAACAACTGTTTTCTCATTATGCAGTAAACACAACACAACTTATTAAAAATAATTAATTTATCATCTGATGCATCTGGCATTTGATCTCATTTACAAATAAGTTAGAGCCATGTCACACACAATAAGAGAAGGTTATCCAAACCACGACCTCTCCAGCTGCCACCCAGGCAGAGCATCCTCAGTGTTTGCGAGGGAAACACATTCCCTGCATGATTCCCCAAAGAATGAACTGCTGAAGAAGAAACGTGCCCCACCGAGGTACCTTCATTCACAGAGCTCCGCTGGTTCCAATGTAAACGCTTCACTCCATGTCAAGTCCTTAATCAAAGCTGTTTAAGCTGAAGGAAAACTACTGATGCCAACAAGCTGCAAAGGATGGTAATACCACCATACTTTCCTTCAAGGGTCACAAAACAGCCAGCTTTTACTGTCAGTTGCCACAAAAAGACAGCGTGCCCTTTTCAAAATACTGCTGAATGAAATAAGATGATAACTCAACCATCCAACGAGCTGTTCTCTCAGCAAAATATCAGTCCGTACATTAAAAAAAAGTTGGGCCTGGGTAACTGCTGGACTAGATTTTAATTTTTAAGATGATTGTACTGTGAGATACTATCTAGAAACACAAAGTGCTTGTTTACCTTAGTTTAGTACTCTACTACTACCTCTTTACCTCACCCTTCTTTATCTTATGGCAAATAGTGCTATTCACATCCAGTAGCTTATGTAAACAACATAAAGCTATGTGCATGCACAATTCTTTGCAGGATCAGGATGACTTCAAAAAGTTGGAGTCCACATGCTCGCAGAGTGGCTACTATCACGATCAGCTATGATGCAATAAAAGATAACAATTCTGCAAAGTAGCAGAACAATGATGAATACGAGTATTTATATTTTATACAACTTATTCTGGATGACAGAGAGAAACCAATATTTCTTTAACATACTGCTGTTCTTCACTTAAAAATTTAATGACACAGATAAACCATTACTTCATGCAACGGTTCATTGGACATTATGTTCTTGAGTTCGACAGCTTTCCAGCACAAATATAAACGTCAATGTCAATGACTCCCAAATCTTAATGACAACAGCTCAAAACTAAAATGCTTTAAAAAGATGATGGGAAGAATTTGTGTGATTATGTTCTTAGGAGCAGGGCGCTCTGCAGCCTCAGAGACTGGTCTGTGTGGATCTTCCTACAGCATCAAAAATACCTCATGCCTTTGCTAATTCAACGGGAAGGGTCTCCCAGGATATGCAGGATTTATCAAATTTTTTATTTTTTGATGGTATGTTAGGTAAATTCCCCACCAGAGAGCATTTATACCAAGAGGGTGGTCAAACACTGGAACAGGTTTCCTAGGGAGGAATGCCCCAAGCCTGTCAGTGTTTAAGAGGCCCTTAATAACATGCTTTAACTTTTGGTCAGCCCTGAATTAGTCAGGCAGTTGGACTAGATGATTGTTGTAGGTCCCTTCCAACTGAAACAGTTCTATTCTATTCTATTCTATTCTATTCTATTCTATTCTATTCTATTCTATTCTATTCTATTCTATTCTATTCTATTCTACTCTATTCCATTCCATTCCATTCCATTCCATTCCATTCCATTCCATTCCATTCTATTCTATTCTATTCTATTCTATTCTATTCTATTCTATTCTATTCTATTCTATTCTATTCTATTCTATTCTATTCTATTCTATTCTAAATAATACCAACTACTTTAAATAAAGGCTATGTATGAGTTGAAAATCAGTTGTTGGTTTTATTCACGCAGCCCTAGCAGACCTTTACCAAACCATTTTATATAGCAAATTGTCTTCTGTTCTTCAATACAAAGAAAACATTGAGCAGGCTCAGACAATAATAAATGTGCTTACACGGCCACACTGTGAACAGTCTATAAGCACAGTGACATTGTCATTGTCCATTAAGGTCAGCTTGTGTAACTTTTCACAAGATTTAATTTGTTTTTCACCCCGTCCACCGTATCTGATATGCTGAGCAGAAGGTTCTATGTAAAATTCCTATTTCGTTTCTATCACCTGTTGCTAAAGGCAATTATCTAAACACATAAGGAAAAAATAATATAATACATTAAGCAATTAGTGTATAATAATTTAAGTTAAAGGAAAACAATTTTTCTCGTGCAACGGGGAGCAGAGTTGTGTATGATTAATTAATTGTCTTATCCCATCTTCTGAGTGCTTAATTAATGCTGAAAGCTTTAATGTTCCCTTACTTGAGGATCTCTTCATTGTTTTGGCATGTTTTCTGCTCTAATTAAAGTAAAAAGGAAACCTTACACCATGAGTACCCTGCCCTTCCAGATGGGTGGATGAGCTACCTGTTTGGAGAGGCTGGAAGAAAAGCACATGCTGTGATTCCACCTCTGGGTCGTGCCTACACCTACCTTGAAAGCATCATTACATCCACCTGCCCACGCGCTGCCAAGACTCTTTCCCAAAGCGTTAGATCTACTACACATCCATAGATCAACTGCAACACACACACAGACACATGCACATGTGTCCTGCCCATGTACCAGTATCTGAGAACCTCTTGAGAAGGAAGAAGCTGGCAGCAGGTTGCAACCACTGGAACAATTAATGAGTAACTGGACAGGGAGCAGGATGAATTGTGCCAGCAGTGACGGCCTCACTCCTGGTTGCCAACTTTCCTGGGACCCCCCATAGCTCTTCTTTTACCACATGATAGTACATCAGAAGATGAGGAGGAACCATAAAGCCCTTGGAAATAAAGACAACCACAAGCAGGAGACTACTGTCAAAGCAACACATCTGACACATCCTTTGATGCCAACAGCCTTCTAGGAAGGAGAGCACCTGACAACAGGCCAGAGAAGTCACTAGCCAGTGACTGAATACCTTGATCTGTAAACCCCAGTATGTTTGTCATGAGCCTCCATACAAACAGGAACAAGATCCCATCTTTGGGACTCTGAAATATTATACCAAGAGTTGCAAGTAGGCAGGCAGTAATAAGAGGTATCATTCAAATCACAGGGGAGGATACTCTACACATTGACGGAATTAAAAAAAAAAAAAAAAAACAAAACAGTAACAGAATAATATAGATACATATAGGATCAGTTACATATTGCTCATGAATTGACTGGACTTGTCCTAAGACCAGAGATTCCTGTAAATTACGTGATGCTTTTTCATTCTTTGCCTACCAACTTCTTTGTGTTGAACTTTTTAAACTGGATTTTTGTTTACAAATTATTACTAGTGTCCAAGAAACTGCAATTAATACCTTTGTCATAACCATGTAAAACAGATTTCTGCTTAACTTTTTCCCAATTAAATTCTGCATCTGCAATTCCTTTTGCTTGTTACTGTATTGATCCTGTCTTTCACTTTCTTTTTTAATTAACTATTTGTTTGCAGTATCTCTTCAACAGTAAATAAAGGTCTGATTGAAATTACATATCTTTATATTGCTCTTTACATGGGTAGGCTGTGGAAGAAGGAGACAAAAGATAGAATGCGACCAGTTTGTTTAAGCAAAATGCAGTCTATATACACAAAATGACATTATTTTAGCACTATCTATTCCCAAAGAAAAAGATGTTTTTTTACAGAGGTTTTGATATTTCTTTTTTTTTAAATATTCATCAATAGTAAGACATCAGCATAGAATAATTTTCCCTCAGCATGAAATGGAATATTCTGTTTTATGAAAACTGAGACATATACGAAGGTTTGTGTTTTAGTTTTGATTTTTTTAAGACTTGCCAGTTAATGCATTTTGATTAACGCATTATTAACTGCTATATAATCTTGTCAATACTAGGTGCTAACGCTCACAAAATGTGTTAGCTGACAACAGTCAGTCCCTACAGCCATGTCACCATGAAATGTCACATCCTTTTCATTTGTCTACAACAG